AGGCCGAATTCTAGGTATTTTCAGTAAAACTGAAAAACCACTTCCTGAGTCCAGGCAACCTTGAGGGTTAGGACTGAGGGCTTTTCTCTACTCACCTCAAATGTGGAGATGCCTGGTCCCTCTCCGCAAGATTTCACAAGATGGTACATGCCAAGAGGCACTTGGAACCGTGTGAGGCACATGGCAAGTGCTCACCAAGCTTTAGCTATCTTTAAATTGTTCCTCTTTCTTCCTCTGTCTGACAGAGCTGGATGAGCCCTCTGCCCCATCAGGGGCTTTGTGGGTCCCAAACCTGTCGGGGTATGGGACAGACAGCAGGCAATGGTGGGGACCCTCCTACTGGGTCAGCTCAGCAGGCTGTCCCTGTGAGGTCCAGGCTGGGTTCTAGACTCTTGCACATGTCAGCTGTGTTTCCTGATGGGAGGTCCAAGCCCTCTCTGCTCCCAGACACGAAAACAAATCCACAAGGTGGGTAGAAACTAGCCTCTTTTCCTCCTTCACCCCCATGATTCCTCAGGGCATGGTGCCCAAGACCCCCGGAGCCTCGGTGCTAGAACTATCCACAGGAAGAGGCAGCCAGGCTAGCCGAAGATGTCTAGTCCAAGGCCTCGACTTTCTCTCAGGATGACTCGTTTCTTCTTTCGAGTTCCTCTGGTTCTGAAGGGGTAGCCCCAGACCCCCCTGGGCCCCCCTGGTAGCTCCCATGGTTCTGTCTTGGGGCTCTGCACAGGGTAGGCTTGTCTTAGGGGTTCTTTGGCCCTGATTCCTGGCCCAGAGAGTCTTGGCACTAGATCTGGTCCTGTGCTGAGGATCTGGGGGGTTCTGGGTGGTGGCTGCTCAAGATCTGGGTTCTCACACAGACACCTGGCTTGCGGAGTCATAGGGTCGAGTTGGGAGAAGGGGTCCTTTTCCACCTGCCTCACGGATTTTCTTTCTGCCTTGGGAACCTGGATGACTTGGGTCTCGTACTGAGAGCACACACTTCCAGCTGGCATTTGCTTTCTGTAGTGATAAGAGTGTGGATTGGAGGAGATGCTTGGCAGATGGGGCATTGTGGGTATTTAGAGCAGGGGTGAACCCAAATTTACGTGTCTTAGAAAGGAGCCTCTCCTTTCTCCATTTGACGCCAATTCTGTCTCTGAATTTTCTAAGGCTGTTAAAGGGGGCTCTTGGTAGCAGGCGAATCAGATGCCAGGCACTTAGGCATCTTGGGAAAGTGTTGGTTTCCTGGGGCCCAGACTCCTAACACATTGGCTGTCCTTGCCCTGGGCTCAGGGCATCTGTTGTGGTTGAGATGTGCCTCTTAATGTGCTGGGGGCTCTCGCATTGTGACACCTGGCTGAATAGCTGGCCATCCACGGTCTCCTTCATCCACGTGAATGAGAGCCTGGTGAGAAACACCCTGATGAGAAGCACAGGAAAGCAGACCCTCTCCCAGCACCTTCCTGCCTGGTTTGACCATGATTGGGCCTGGCAGGGCCTGGGCTTTGGGGGCTGACTTAGGAACAGTGGGATCATGTTTCCTGGGACTTACTTGGCAGCACATTTCTGTGTAGTTCCCTTGGGATGATTCATTCCTGCCCCGTTCGCTGTGCAGAGGAGAAACTTGAGCCTGAAGGTCACCTACTGGTGAGTGGCCCAGGCCCCGATCAAGGCCATGCCCCTCAGTCTCAGCCTTTTTGTTAGCAAAACTAAGAGACCCTTGACTGGAAAAGAACAAGAGGTATTCTCCCCATTTCTCAGTGGGAAAAAGGATCCTAGCATCCTCAGCCGCTGAGACAGATACCCAAGCCCTAGAGTCTGGTGACTCAGAAATACAGCTGTCTGTCACTTTTGTGGGTGTGCACTTGTGTGGAGCCCTGGCAGCACTGCCTCACAGCCTCTGGTGTCTGCATACCCATTACCATCGGTAAAATTTGACTCCCCACTGCATGTCCCTGTTATTCCTGCCACCAAGACCCCAAGGTTCCTCTTCTGTGAGGCATCTCTAGATCCCCTGCATGGCCTGGGGCTGGGCACAGTACAGGTGAACAATAAGAGACCTGGTTGGCCACGGCCTGGCACTTCCTGGGATGGGGACAGCAATCTTACAAGGATGGCTGTCCTGGAAAGGGTTCTTGGGCAGCCCTGCTAGGGAGGTGGATGATGCTGGAAACTTCTGGCTCTGGGAGCCACTTTAAGAGCTTGGCTGGCAGTAAGAGCTGTATTGCTCCTGTATCCTGTTCCAAGCTGAGCTAGGGCCTGGCTGGATATGGCGCATCTCTCCTGTAACCTCAGGCAAGTCATCTGGATTCTCTGTACCCTGATTTCTCTCTATCGGCCTACATTACTCCTTTGGGCATTTTCCATTTTACAGGCTCACTCGGCAGAAGACCATCCTGCGGGGGGTCGAGGGGAGCAGGGCAGCTGCAGCGGCCTTTGCTACCTCTGGGTGACAGAGGCCGTCAGACAAGATGCCTCACTTCACAGTGGATTGCATTTTCCCACCTGTGCTCTGGGTTTCTTGTTTTCCATGGAAAAACAGAAGAGACTAGAAATTTAAAAGATTCAATATTTGTTACCAAATTACAATTCTTAAAGAAAGTTTCCTGCTTGAAACAGCATCCTTGGGCAGTAGCTGGTGGGTGACTTGGCTGAGAATAGTCTAAGAGCACCAGAGATTCCGATGCCTCTGCTAGGGGTCACAGTTGGGGCTGGGCCCTTCCTGCCGACCTGTTGTGTTCAGTCCTGGGAAGCAGGCAGGATCCCTTCTCCTTTTCCCTTCAGAGGCTACAACTGATTTACCGGGAGATGGGTCAGGGCTGCTACCAGGCACATGTTAAATAATTACGGTGTTTACCAGAATAGAGGGGTTGCCTTTGGAAAAACAAGAACAATGTTTGCAGAAATGAATCAGGAGGAGTTACTGGGCTTCCAGGCAGTGGGGAAACGCAGTGTAGTGAGGAGATGGGCCTTTTAACGTTTCACATTCATTGCAGTAAGCCTCTTAGATTGGTTCTTAACTGTTTGTGTGCATCAGAATCACCCTGCAGACTTGTTAAAACTCAGCTTGCTCCCTCCCCAGAGGGTCTGATTCAGTAAGGAATTTACATTTCTAACAAATTTCTAGGTGATGCTGATGCTGCTGGTCCAGGTAAAGATGAAAAACTTAAATAATAAAAAAAACTGTGATGGTTAAGGGATGGGGAAATAGACTGGTGCAATCTTCATATAGGACAATATCTACAAAAGTATTAATATGTATTCCCTCCCCCTTTTTAAAAATTGAGGTGAATTTCACATAACATAAAATCAACCTTTTTCTAAAGTAAGCAATTTAGTGCATTCACCATATTGTGCAACCACCATTTATATCTAGTTCCAAAACGTTATCACTCCAAAATAAAACTCCGTATTCATTTAAGCAGTTACTTTCCATTCCCCACTTCCCCAGTCCCTGGCAGCCACCAGTCTGCCTTCTTTTTCTGTAGATTTAATTATTCTGAGCTTCACTCTGGAATTCAGAGGAAACCGGAACACCCTGGTGTCAGCTCTGTGTGCATCTGGACACACCTGGTGCATAAACCTGGGCACACACACACTTTTGAGAGCTCTTTTATCTCTTTCAAGGGTCTCAGAACTGTTCTGGGCTTCCTTTCCCACTGGCAGCCAAAGCGTGGGTTCAGGGTCAGTGGAGATTCCACAGTTGCACATGGGGAAGTGAGCCCAATCGCTGGACCGTGGAGTCCTGACATTGTGGTGCTTTACTTCAAGGTACACGTGGCCCCAGGCAGGGCAGGCTGCATGCCTCAGAGTGCCTTTATTTCAGCCCTGGGGCCACCGCTGTGATGCTGCCCTTTTGGTGACAGCGATGATGAGCATCTACATGCCTGGTCAGGCCACGCTGACAAGTCCCCTCTCAAAGGGCAGCCAGCTGAGGTCATGCATGTGGAGCAGAGAGGGTGGGCTAGAACTGAGGCCACAGGCATCTGAGAGTCTTTCTTTCTTTCTTTCTTTTTGGTTCCACGCTGCTTTCAAACCCAGAAACCTGAAAATGGAAGAAATGAGCCACAAGTGGAAATAGACCCCATTGCTCAAATCTGACTCTGATTCTTTGGCCCACATCCCCTGTTCTCTAGTGGAGCTGTACTCATTCTTTTAGTCTGTTTCCAGATGGCTCCTCCTCCACGCAGCCTTCCCTGGAAGGGCAGCAGGTCATGACTTCGTTCTGCTCTGCCTGCCCAGAGGCTCTGCTGCTGGAGCAGCCCCTCTTCTGTGGCCAGCTCTTCGCAGGCCTGCCTTGTTTCTCTGGAGAGCTGGGACCTTGGTCTCCCCGTCGTGGCCAGTATACATCTGGAACACAGAATGCTCAGGAATTCAGAGCGCAGTGGGCACATGCGTGCTGTCTGTGGGCAGCGTGGGCTGTGTGTGTGAGGCTAGAGGCCGGCTCCCGCTCTTTCCTTTTGGCATTTTTGATGGTCCCAGGAAACCACCTTCTGGCCTGGTTTGGCAGTGTGGGGGCAGGTGGCGTGGGCTTTGTCTGGCAGTGGAGGGTGGGAAAATCCATGTGTCTGGACTAGAAGTTTTAGTCCTTGTTTTCTTTTTCAATGGGAAGAAGCCCTTTGCAGCTTATATTTTCCAGATTGGATGGCAGCATTGCCCATGTGGTGGTGTAAGGGTGTTGGATAATGCTTGTGTTTATGTTCTCATTGGTTACCATGGAAAAAAATCAGAATAGATCGTTTCCATGGAGATTATCTTAAAATTAGTTTCTTTGAAGGTCCGGACATTGCTGCAGGGTTCACTGAAGGCTCTGGATGCCATCCGCCTTTCTCTACGGCAGTGCCAAAGGCTAGTGTGAACATGCATGGATTCAGACGAATTCGCCTCCTATGCTGACAATGCCAGTCCCACTGAGGGGTGGGGGTTGGTCCTGTACCTCAGCTGCCTCTGGGACCCACTTGCCCGGCCTCGGCTCCGCAGTTCATTCCTGCAGTTCATTCCAGTCACTTGGGAGCTTATTTTTTTTTAATTCAACAAAACAAAACCTCTCTATTGGGGAAATTTTCAAGCTAACGCAAAGTCAAGAGGATAATATGACCCCCACCCCCGTGTACCCTGTACCTAGCTTCAGCATTTTGCCAATCTTATTTCATTCATCTCCCACATTTTTTAGAAGAGCTGGAGAGCTTTTTTGTTTGTTTAATCCCAGATAACATTATTTTACCCTAAATACAGACTTTTCTTGGTTAAATAACTGCAGTGCTCTTATCACATCCAACAAAATTAATAATTCCTTAATATAAGATGCCTAGTCTGTGTTCACATTTTTCTGCATTGTGTAGAGATCGTTGTTTTGTGCTCTTTGTTCAAATAAAGATGTGGGAGGCTTTGAGGAAACCCATCTCTTCCCTCTTCACCACAATTCTGGAGCGTGGAGAGGTCAAGCCACAGTTGGGCCAGAGGCAGGCGGACCCTTGGGGCTGCCCCCTCCCTCTGTCCTCAGGGATGGCTGTGCACTCTGAGCTCCATCCAGGACGCCTCTGTTACAGCCGGGAGATGTGTCAGCGCAGGTGCACCAGCCACAGCCAGCTGTCCCAGGCTGGCATCCTCTGGGGTGCGCTGTCCCTCTTTGCAGCCTGCGGCCCGCAGGGAGGGAGAGAGAGAGGTGATGTAACCTTGACTCACAACAGCTGTGTGCAACTTCAGTTTCCAGGAAGGGGAGGCTGTGAGACCCTGGGGTCAGAGGAGGCAGCCTCCCTCACCTCCTCCCTGGGCAGCACTGAAGTGAGGACTTTGGCCCATTGGAAGCCTGCTGCCTCTCTGGGGCAAGCAGAGCCAGTCCTGGTTCTCTGTCTTGGCAGGCTTTGCTCGTGTCCTGAGATGCTGCACAAAATATGAATTGCCAAGCTTGGGAGTGGTGCCCGGGTATGGTCAGTGCCTCTAACACTCTCCATTGAACTAAGTGCAAGGAGAGTTTAAAATAGCTAGCCTTTGTTCCCGAGGTTTTAAAAATTCAACTCCAGTAGTTACAATGAGCTGTCTTCAAGTGGATCTATAAATAAACTGCTACTGTTCCTCTTTGTCACCGAGAGCTTCGGCATCTTCCAGAGACGTCGGCTCTGCCGCTCATCTTCATTAGATGCCTCTCATCTGTGGGGCAGCTGCAGCCATCAGCAAGCTGGGCTGACACGCAGAGTTTGTAATGACAGCCACACGTTCCCTTTTAAAAAGCCACAGCCCCCCAAGATTAACTACACAGAGAAAGATGAAAGATGTAGCTTTGCATTAGAGAAACCTGACAGAGGTCAACCTCACCTGTCTCCATGAGTCCCACAATGTCAGGCACGTGGCTTTTATGGTGTTCTTGTCAAAAATTGCGTCACTCCCATCCAGTCATGAGAAACGTCAGACAGACCCAAGCTGAGGGACACTTGACAACATAACTGATCAGCACTCTTCAAAAGTGTCAAGATCATGAAAGACAAAGGAAAACCAAGGAACTGACACAGATTGCAGAAAACAAAGGAGAAAGAGCTAAATGCAGTGGGAGATCCTGGGTAGGATTCTGGAACATCAGGATCCAAGGACATTAATAGAAAAATTGGTGAAGCTCAGGTGGAGCCCTTCCTTAGTGTGGTTAATGGAATTGTCCCGATGTTAACTTCCTGGTGTGACCATTGTACTGATGGTTATGTAAGATGGTAACTCTGGGAGAGCCTGGGGGAGGGAGATATGGAAATTTCCTGTACTATTTTTTGCAACTTTTCTCTAAGTCTAAAAGTAGTTCAAAGCAGTTTAATTTTAAAAAAAAAAAACCACACACACAAAAACTACAGTCAACACTTGAGCTTTATCAGAAGCCTTGATCTCCCTCCCAGGGTGTCTCAGTTTAGGTGTCTGTGGTGGGGCTGGTAGGTGTTCCTGTCTCGAGGCAGGAGGTAGACAGCCTGGAAGGGGGCCCTCGCGAACATGTGTGGAACTGAACTGTTGAGGAGCCGGCCCTCCGGAAAGCAGGTTGTGTGCAAAGGGAATGCTGTTACAAAGGTGTTGGTCACCAGCATGGGGACCGCAGTGCGGTGGTGTCTGCTTGGCAATGTGGTTGTTTCTCCCATGCTCCCAAGGTGCATTTGCTCCAGGAACTTGGGGCGCAGCAGATGCTCTCCAGCATTGCCTCCTCCCAAGGCTCCCCTGGGCTGTGTGGAGCACCCCCTCACCCTGCCCTGCCCTGTTTCTCCTCGTCTGAGTCCCTGACCCTTGGGCTCTAGCCTTGCTGCCAACCAGTGTGTGTTTCTGGCTGGACCAGGCGTGGTGACCTGGAGGGCTTCAGCCCCTAAAGGCCTGGGATGATTTTCCTCTGTCCTCAGAATCAGGAGGGCTGTCCTCTATGCAGAGGACGTTCTCGATGCATGAGAGTCTGCTTTCTCATGCTAGCCACCAGTTCAGTTCCTCAGCCTTCCTTTCCCCATTCCATCCCCGCTCCTTTCTGCCCATAGCTTCCCTCATATGGGTGTGTCCTTTCAGTAGGACAGTCCTCCCCCACCCTCCTTTTTTCTCCTGGGGGCATATTTGGACATTGGAATGACTTTCCATTTCCTGCTTGCCAAGGCAGTTCTTTCATGCCTTTAAAACATTTGGCTTTATTTTTTTTTTTGACTTTTTTTTTTTAATTTATTGAAGTACAGTCAATTACAATGTGTCTTTCTCTGGTGTACAGCACAGTGTCCCAGTCATGCATATACATACATATATTCATTTTCATTTTTTTTCCATTAAAAGTTATTACAAGATATTGAACATAGTTCCCTGTGGAAACATTTGGCTTTATAAGTCAGCCCTCTTGTCTGTGGGGAAATGTGTGGAAATCCTCAGCGAGTTTGGCTGCGGGGTCAGCAGGAGACAGCTGGGGGTGGAGCCCAGGGGTGGCTGACAGAGCCCTGATGTGGGGTCTCCGTCTGGCTTTGGGCCTGAGCGAGGAGATGGGGGTTCCTTGGTTTGTGCATTTAACACCTCCCACATGCCCAGGAGGTCTGAGACAGGTGTACTAGGATGACAGGGACAGCTGTGGTCCTGGGGTCTGGACGGCACTGGTTCTGTACAGAGTCCTGGGTTGGGCACGTGGATCCCTCACCCTCCACGTTAGACCCATCCTTAAACCCCTTTACAGTTTGTAGTTCCAAGGACACCCTGTCTGTGTGGAGGCACCCTGCATAGTCATACTCTGGGTAGAAGCCAATAGCAGTAACCAAACCCCATACTCATACTTGGACTGGCTTGGAAGAACATTCGTAAGACTGCCGAACAATTAGATGATTTTAAGAAACCAGAATTCATCTTGGGCTCAGGGCTATGTTTAGAACCAGAAGTTTTCCCTCTTGTTAGTCTCCCGGCCGGAACCCTAAATTATAGGGCAAACAAGGCCGTAGTATCTCTAGTCCACAAATATATGGGGAGAATACAGTACCAGGTTTCTTTTGAGCTTTGATTTGAGGAAACAGCTGTGCCTATTTCCACTTGACAAGCTGGAGCTGAGAGGAGCCCAAGTGAGCTCTGCCCTGTCCCCGCTCTCCTCATCAGGGCTGGTTTAGCAAACAGGGAGGAGGCAGACTGGATGCCTGTTAACTCTCCATGAGGCAAATTGTCAAAGCCAAAGGCCTGAGGTGCAGGCTAAGAAACGTCTGTGTCCGTGAAGCTCCACATCCTCAGCAGACTACGTGATGAACAGTTTGATGAAAGATGAAGTTGAAAAGACATAATCGTGTGTGTCTGTCCATTTCTTCCAGCTTTGCGCTAAGGGTCTATACTGTATACTAGGAGGGTACTAGTGAGACAGCCCAGATCTGGGGCCTGGGTCACCGTCCTCTCCTCTCTCTGGCCAGACTCAGACCATGGACCAGATGCTGGTTGCTTTTGTCTGTTACAGAGTTTCAGTTTCTGGAGCAAGCTGGGCAGGGGCAAGGTCCAGTGTTAGAGATTAATAGAAAAGGAGAAATTTCCATCTTGAGCAGGTGTTAATAATTGACCACCCCACTCAACTAGAGGGGGGCATTCTGTCAAGTCAGCTCGTGACATCTTTATGGTAAAACTCCAGCCACTGCTGGCTGTTGGCCAGGTGCGTGCAGACCTCACTTGCTCGTGACTGTCGGGCTGTGTATAGGCCCCTAAGCAGCTGAGTCCTGAAGTTCCATGGACTGGGCCACTGCCGCTTGGGAAACCCTGCCTGGGACATCTGCTGACAACTGGGGAGTCACTGAAATGTGACTCTGGCCCTTCAGCATCTGGAAGCCGTCATCCCCAGACCAGTGGTGGACCTCACGGGCCTCACCTGTGGTCTTCAACCTTGGGTTTTGCCCACTGGTAATGTCCTGTGGAGAAGCAGTGATTTTCACCTTGAGTGCAGAATGGCAGTGATACGTAGTGTCAAGTGCAGTGTCACGATGGGCAGGTGGGGGTCCTAGGGGCATTTCAGTTGTAACTGCACCTTTTTAAAGTCAGGTTTATTAGTATACAAATAGTAACATTCACCATTTTAGAAAGTGAACCATTCTGTGTGATCGCCGTCATGATCAAGTTATAGAATCTTTCCATCAGCCCCCAAAATTCCTTTGTTCCTCTTTGTAGTCAATCCACTCCTTCCACCTCCAGCTCCACACAACTGTTAATATGCTTTCTGTCACTGTAGATGAGTTTGCAGTTTTCAGAATTTGATATAAATGAAATCATGTAGTTACATATGTATTTTGGGGGGAATCTGGTTTCTTTCAGCCTAATTATTTCGAGAGTCACCCATGTTGTTACATGTATCAATAGTTCACTTCTACTTATTTCTGAGTACTTTTCCATCAGACAGATAAACAATTTTTTATTTGCCTGTTCATGTTTGGGTTATTTTCAATTGGGGGCTATTACAAATAAAGCTGCTGTTAATTTCTATATAAATATCTTTCTATGGACATACGTTTCCATTTGTCTTGGATAAATACCTAGGAGTGGAATGGCTGCAACATATAATAGGTATATGTTTAACCTTTTTTTTTTTAAATGTTTAATCTTTTAAGTAACTGTCAAACTGTCTTATGGTTATAACATCTTACATTCTCCCTAGCAGTGTATAAGAGTTCAAGTTTCTCCACTTCCTCGCCAGCACTTGAGGTGATCAGTCTTTTTAACTTTAGATCATTGTAATAGGTATATAATGGTATCTCACTATGATTATAACTTGAATTTTTCTAATGACAAATAATGTAGAGCATCTTTTTACAAGTTTGCTTGCCATCTTTATATGTTCTTTGGTGAAGTGACTGTTCAAATCTTTTGCCTTTTTTTTTTTTAACGTTGTTTGTCGTATTGGATTTTGAAAGTTGTTGTATATTCTGGATATAAGTCCTTTACCAGTTATGTGACTTGCAAATATTTTCTCCCAGTCTGTGGTTTGTGTTTTCATAACAGCGTCTTTCAGAGAGGAGATGTTTTGAATTTTGATGAAGTTCATTTTATCAACTTTTCTCTTTTCGGATCACACTCTGGGTGTCATATCTAAGAAATCTTCACCTGACCCAAGGTCACAAAGGTTTCTCCATTTTAGAAGAAAAATATATACCAGTATTATAGTTTGAGAGTTTACATTTAGGTCTGTGAACCATTTGGAGTTACTTTTTGTGTGTGGTGTGAATGTACTGAGGTTCTTTTTTTTTCTTTTTTTTTTCAATGGATATCCAGTTGTTCCAGCAATCGGTGAAAATACTGTCTTTTCTCCACTAAGTTGTTTGTGTACCTTTGTTACAAATTAATTGACCCAATATGTGTGGGTCTATTTCTGACTCTATTTGTTCATTGATCTATGTGTATATCCTTTCACCAGTACCACACTGTCTTGATTTCTATAGCTTTAGACTGTCTTTAAATCAGGTAATGTGAGTCTTCTAATTTTGTTTTCCCTTTCAAAATTGTTTTGGCTTTTCTAGTTCCTTTGCCTTTCCATATAAATTTTAGAGTCAGCTTTTTGATTTCTTTTTCTTTTTTTTTATTTTCTTTTTTTAACATTTTTTATTGATTTATAATC